CTAGCTACGCCTCTGGTCAGCATCTCAGCTAAACACCTATTGAGAGACTCTTTAAGAACCTATTGTATTCGATGAGCCAGAGCCGACTGAATCTGAGCAATAGGAGCGCTAAAACAATCACTGTGATGCAGAAAAGTGCATATAGAATGAGCGGATGTGGATAACAAGTGGATATATGAATACAAACTACAGTCACAAGGATTTAAAACATTACGATCATGCATTGAAAATGTTACCTACATCAAGAGGGTCACGTTCATATACAGTTGCAAGAAAAAGTATGTGAACCCCTTGGGAACCCCTTGGGATTACGTGGAGTTTTGCATGAATTGGGCATAAAATGTGCTCTGAACGTCATCTAAGTCACAACAATAGAAGAACACAGTCTGCTGAACATAATACTACACAAACATTAGATGTTGCCATGGTTTAATTGCACATAACATGTAAACATTCATAGTGCAGGGAGGAAAAAGTATGTGAACCTTTGGACTTAATAACTGGTTGACCCTCCTTTGGCAGCAATAACCTCAACCAAACGTTTCCTGTAGTTGCAGATCAGACCTGCACAACGATCTGGAGTCATTTTGGACCACTCCTCTTCACAAAACTGTTTCAGTGTAGCAATCTTCTTGGGATGTCTGGTGTGAATCGCTCTCTTAAGGTCATGCCACAGCATTTCAATCGGGTTGAGGTCAGCACTCTGACTGGGCCACTCCAGAAGGCGTATTCTGTGCTGTTGCAGCCATTGTTTTGTTGAATGACTTGTATGCTTTGGGTCATTGTCCTGTTGCATCACCCATCCTCTGCGGAGCTTCAGTTGGCGGACAGATGGTTGTACGTTTTCCTGCAAAATGTCTTGATATACTCTGGAATTCATTTTCCCATCAATGACAACAATCCGTCCAGGCCCTGAGGCAGCAAAGCAGCCCCAAACCATGATGCTCCCTCCGCCATGTTTCACAGTGGGGATGAGGTTTTGATGTTGGTGTGCTGTGCCTTTGTTTCTCCACACATAGTGTTGTGTGTTCTTCCCAAACAACTCAATCTTGGTTTCATCTGTCCACAGTATATTTTGCCAGTAGTGCTGTGGACACATCCAGGTGCTCTTTTGCAAACTTCAAACGTGCTGCAATCTTCTTTTTGGACAGCAATGGCTTCCTTCGTGGTGTCCTCCCATGTACTCCATTCTTGTTTAATGTTTTCCTTATTGTAGATGTGTCAACAAAAATGTTAGCATGTGCCAGAGATTTCTGTAGGTCTTTAGCTGACACTCTGGGATTCTTCTTTACCTCATGCAGCATTCTGCGCTGTGCTCTTGCAGTCATTTTTACAGGACGACCACGCCTAGGGAGAGTAGCAACAGTGCTAAACTTTCTCTATTTGTAGACAGTCTGTCTTACCGTGGACACATGAACATCAAGGCTCAAGGAGATACTTTTGTAACCCTTTCCAGCTTCATGCAAGTCAAACAATTCTTGATCGTAGGTCTTCTGAGAGCTCTTTTCTGCGAGGCATGGTTCACATCAGACAGTGCTTCTTGAAACCAGTAAACCCAAAACGGGTGTGTGTTTTTTCAGGGCAGGACAGCTATCAGCAACACATCCAATATCATCACACTGATTGGAGTCAAGGTTGGCTCACTCCTGGCTCCAATTAGCTCTGGGAGAAGTCATTAAGCTAGGGGTTCACATACTTTTTCCTCCCTGCACTGTGAATGTTTACATGTTATGTGCAATTAAAACCATGGCAACATCTAATGTTTGTGTAGTATTATGTTCAGCAGACTGTGTTCTTCTATTGTTGTGACTTAGATGACGTTCAGAGCACATTTTATGCCCAATTCATGCACAACTCCACGTAATCCCAAGGGGTTCACATACTTTTTCTTGCAACTGTATATTATAGAATAAAAAAAAAGTCCTGTCTAAGTCCTATAGTCACCTATGCACATCTCTGAAATCAGTTTCACTTTGTTACTGGAGCATGGCTTTCCTGACATCAGGGCTAAGCCCCATCAACTGCCATTCTGGGCCACTGGGACACTACCATTGGGCAGGCAGATGGTCATTAGTCACAGGTCATTAGTTACTGGCCATTAAAATATTTCTCCAGAAGTTAAGGAGATCAGCAAAAAAAGTGAAACTAGTTTCAGAGAGGTACTCATAAGAAGGTTTCTGGCTATTATATTGAGGTGTCTGCTTCTTGGGATGACTTCTGCTTTTTCAACATTGACAGGTGAAGTGCTGACAAGTCCATTTGAAGGTGCCCTTAGACTTCTCAGGTTGGGGAAAACTGCATGATCTGATCTGACCTACAAAGGATCTCTCAGCTATGAAAAGCAGGGGGTGGGGGAGCTGAAGTTATACCATTGAGATGAGCTCTGAGAGCTGATTGGAAGCAAGAGACACACCAATCTGTTGGAGGTTCTTCCCCTGTCACCATTTTTCTCTTGGTGTCAGGATAACTCATTGGAAGTGACACATGCTAATTGCAGAGAAACAAGGCCGTGGTCAGAAATGACATTACTCTGGATTGAGACAAGAACACACTATAGAGGGCACACTATAGAGGGCAGGGGCAAACTGATCATTCGAGCACTCGGGCACTGCCAGAGGGCCTTATAAATTTATGCTTTATAAGGGGGCCTTATAAAATGCCCCTCGTACCTTTTTATAGGCTTTTTTGGGTGTGTTTTTGAGTGTGGGCAAGGACACAGGGGCCCCATGATCCCCAATTGCACAGGGGCCCCAGGAGTTGTCAGTCCGCCCCTGATAGAGGGATATGCTTTGTTCATATTTCATGTCTGAGGTTACAGCCGTTTTAAGGTCCCAAGTGAGGGAAATGTGCATACATAATCTGACCTCCCTCGGGCACCACTGTCACCTGTTAATTCCATCACTGTTCATCTTGGTCATATGTTTATGTGAGATTGCTGTTATGGGCCACCAGGCAGATGGTCATTAGAACCTTTCCCTAGACGTTAGGGGTATCAGTAAAAAAAGTGCAACTAGTTTCAGAAAGGTACTCCGAAGGGGCTTTCTGGGTACCATATTGAGATGTTTCCTTGGGAAGGCTTCTTTTAAAAGTTGAGAAGTGCTGACAGTGCTCTACATAAAGGCATCCAGGTTGGTGAGTTGGTGATGTCCATGTGCAATCTGTCCTCTTGGGTTCAGTGAGGTTGGTGAGATGTCCATGTGCAATCTGTCCTCTTGGGTTCAGTGAGGTTAGTGAGATGTCCATGTGCAATCTGTCCTCTTGGGTTCAGTGAGGTTGGTGAGATGTCCATGTGCAATCTGTCCTCTTGGGTTCAGTGAAGTTAAAGTTGGTGAGATGTTCATGTGCAATCTGTCCTCTCAAGGGGTGGGCAGGAGGGACAGCTGCCTTGGGCACAGTGAAGATTTGGGAGGTTGTGCTAGTAGGGGCAATTGGAAAGGGGGGTTGTACTAGGAGGGTGGATTTGTGTCAGGAAGGCAGATTTGGGGGGAGGAGGGATGATTGGGGGGCTTTTTGCTAGAAGGGGAATTTTTTGGGGGGGAGGATTAGTGCCAGGAAGGGATTTGTGCTGGGAAAGGGGGATTTGGAGGGAGGAGGATTTATGCTCAGAGGGGAAATTTAAGGGGTGGTGGATTGGTGCTAAGAGGGTGGATTGTGCATGAAGAGGTGGATTTGTCAGAGGGGGGGGGGGATTGATGCTCAGAGGGGAAATTTGAGGGGTAGTGGATTTGTGCTAGGAGGGGAGATTTGTGCATGAAAAGATGGACTTGTTTGGGGGGGGGGGGGATTTATGCTCAGAGGGGAAATGTGAGTGGTAGTGGGATTTGTGCTAGGAGGAGAGATTTTTGCATGGATAGATGGATTTTTTTTGGGGGGGGATTTATGCTCAGAGGGGAAATTTGAGAGGTAGTGGATTTGTGCTAGGAAGGGAGATTTATACATGAAGAGATGGACTTGTTGGGGGGGGGGGGGGATTTATGCACAGAGGAGAAATTTTGAGAGGTAGTGGATTTGTTCTAGGAGGGGTGACTTGTACATGAAGAGGTGGATTTGTTGGGGGGGGGGATATATATGCTCAGAGGGGAAATTGGAGAGGTAGTGGATTTGTGCTGGGAAGATGGAACTGGGGAGGGAGAGAAGGGGGGATTTGTACTGTAAGACGGGGATTTTTGTGTGTGGGGGGAATTTTGGCTTGTAAAGGGAATTTATGCTTAAGGAGTAAGTGTGCAGATTAATGTTTTTGGGAGGGGGGGGGGATTTATGCTGACACATAATGCTCATACATTGAGGGGGGGGGTGCCCTTGCACAAAAAGTTACAAAATATTTGATCCTTCTAGGTCACAAGTGTATTTGTTATATATCTCATTACGTAGGGGAGGGAACATACCACATAGGCGACCTGCACCCTCGGCAATCCACCATCACCTGTCAAGTCCATAAATATTCATCTCTATCAAACATTCATGTTTATGTGAGAGTGCCGTTATGGTTCATTGGAGCACTACGTCTGCCAGGTGCTAGGGATTGCATAGCCCCCTTCCATGACAAGTGGCTAGGAACCTCTGCCAGATACTGGGGATTGCCTAACCCACAGGTGACCAACTTACGGTTGCCAAACTACAAGTCCCATGAGGGCATTGCAAGATTGACAATTACCAGCATGACTCCCAAAGTCAGAGGCATGATGGGACTTGTAGTTTCGCAACAGCTGGAGGGCCACCAGTTTGACATCCCTGAACCGCTTACATGCTATGTGGCTAGGGACCTTTGCCAGTTGCTGGGGATTGCCTAACCCACAGGTGGCAAACTGGCGGCCCTCCAGCTGTTGCCAAACTTCAAGTCCCATGAGGCATTGCAAGATTGACAGTTACCAGCATGACTCCCAAAGGCAGAGGCATGATGGGACTTGTAGTTTGGCAACAGCTGGAGGGCCACCAGTTTGACACCCCTGAACCCCTTACATGCTAGGTGGCTAGGGACCTTTGCCAGTTGCTAGGGATTGCCTAACCCACAGGTGGCAAACTGGCGGCCCTCCAGCTGTTGCCAAACTACAAGTCCCATGAGGCATTGCAAGATTGACAGTTACCAGCATGACTCCCAAAGGCAGAGGCATGATGGGACTTGTAGTTTGGCAACAGCTGGAGGGCCGCCAGTTTAACACCCCTGAACCCCTTACATGCTAGGTGGCTAGGGACCTTTGCCAGTTGCTAGGGATTGCCTAACCCACAGGTGTCAAACTGGCGGCCCTCCGGCTGTTGCCAAACTACAAATCCCATGAGGCATTGCAAGATTGACAATTACCAGCATGACTCCCAAAGGCAGAGGCATGATGGGACTTGTAGTTTGGCAACAGCTGGAGGGCTGCCAGTTTTACACCCCTGAACCCCTTACATGCTAGGTGACTAGGGACTTTTGCCAGTTGCTGGGGATTGTGTAACCCCTTACCTTCCCTCGTCCCCACTTTGAGTGATTATGTAACCCCTTCCTCCCAGAGACCTCCTAGATCTCTCCCTCCTTTGACTGCTTACTCTGCAAAAAGAGTATGATAACAAGAATATTGAACCCTTTACCTATGACTAGTCTATACCTGAGCAAGCTGCTGACCCTGGCTATGCTAACCCACTGCCATACTTTAATTCTTCGCTAGTTTCTTCTAGCCCTGATGAAGGGAGAGCATAGCCCCGAAACGTGTTGGCTTTTATATACAACTTATGTCTGGCATAAATAAATTTTTTGCACTTGAACATTTTGGTGTGATGCTTCAGTTCTGGATTGATCTATACTTGGTGACAGCTAATATACTGACCGGGACATTTGATTCCATCACTGGGTGTCTGAACTAAATGAGCTGAGCTGCGAGGGGCGTTTAACCCTCTCCCTACCAGGGGCCCACCCAGAATCACATGCACAGTACTGTGCAGGGGCGAACTGACCATTTGGAAACTCGGGCACTGCCCGAGAGCCCAGGGTCAGTAGGGGGCCCCATGAGATGCCCCTGGTACCTTTTTCATAGGCTTTTTTGAGTTTTGGCAAGGACAAAGGGGCCCCATGATCCCCTATTGCCCGGGGGCCCCATGAGTTGTCAGTCTGCCCCTGGTACTGTGAAGTATTTGGAGCCCTCTTTCTTTCAACCAAGAATGGCCCGAGTGAGATGCATGGCATGACAAGGGTTAAATTAACCCAGTTTCAACTCGAGGCTTATTTTGAACGAAAGGCTTAAGGTCCCTTTCACACGGGCATTCCTTATGTCCATTTTTCATCTGTCCGTTTGCAGATGAAAAACGGACCCCCATGTATTTCTATGGACTTGCGGATGTAAACGGATGAACATCTATTTACATCCGTTAATGTCCGTATCCGTTAACATCCGTTTTTGTTATTTACGTAAGAAAACATTATTTTTCTTCTGCAAAAATAAAAACGGAACGGGTGAAAAACGGATGTCAACGGATGTAAATGGATGTAAATGGACCAAAACGGATGTAAACGGATGAAAATGATTGTAAATGCATGTAAATGGATGTAAATGGATGAAAATGGATGTGAACGGATGTAAATGGATGTAAACAGACCAATAACAGATGTAAATGGACCAAAAATGGATGTAAACGCATGAAAATGATTGTACAAAGATGCACATGGATGTAAACAGATGAAAATTGATGTAAACGGACCAAAAACGGATGTAAATGGATGAAAAATGGATGTAAACAGATGAAAATGGATGAAAAAAATCCGTTAACATCCATTTTTTTTAACATAAGAAAACACTATTTTTCTTCTGCAAAAATAAAAACGGAACGGATGAAAAACGGATGTCAATGGATGTAAATGGACCAAAATGGATGTAAATGGATGAAAATGATTGTAAATGGATGTAAAAGGATGAAAATGGATGTAAACGGATGTAAACAGACCAAAAACAGATGTAAATGGATAAAAATGGATGTAAATGGATGTAAACAGACCAATAACAGATGTAAATGGACCAAAAACGGATGTAAACGCATGAACATGATTGTACAAAAATGCATATGGATGTAAACGGATGAAAATGGTTGTAAACGGACCAGAAACGGATGTAAATGGATGAAAATGGATGTAAACGGATGTAAACAGAGCAAAAATAGATGCCAAAGGATAAAAATGGATGTAAACGGATCTAAAAGGATGAAAACTAATGTAAACCAATGTAAATGGATTAAAAAATGTATGTAAACAGATGAAAATGGATGAAAAAAGTGGATGTAACGGATGAAAAAACAGATGTAAACTCACCCGTTTTTTCTTTGAAAAAACGTGACTGAACTGAAGAAAAAAAAACAGAACGCCCGCCCGTGTGAAAGGACCCTTCTGCTGTAGGATGTAATTTAACCCCGTTCTGGACGAAAACGTTTTCCATTGTGCAATACATTGCACCCTAACGCATTTTTTTAAACAAAAGAAAACAAAAATAAAATGTACTGGGCCTGATATGCTATCAGCTAAGTGACATTAAAATAGAGCAAGAGGCAATATTTGTAGTACCGTGCCAAATAAACAATTATTTTCAATGCATGCTCCTTTTCAATGCGACATGCGCAACAGACATAGGCAGTACAGGCCCGCGTTTCACAGTACAGACCCGCTTTTCACAGTACAGGCCCGCGTTTCACAGTACAGGCCCGCGTTTCACAGTACAGACCCGCTTTTCGCAGTACAGGCCCGCTTTTCGCAGTACAGGCCCGCGTTTCGCAGTACAGACCCGTGTTTCGCAGTACAGGCCCGCGTTTCGCAGTACAGGCCCGCGTTTCGCAGTACAGGCCCGCGTTTCGCAGTACAGACCCGTGTTTCGCAGTACAGGCCCGCGTTTCACAGTACAGGCCCGCGTTTCGCAGTACAGGCCCGCTTTTCACAGTACAGGCCCGCGTTTCACAGTACAGGCCCGCGTTTTGCAGTACAGACCCGTGTTTCGTACAGGCCCGCGTTTCACAGTACAGGCCCGCGTTTTGCAGTACAGGCCCGCGTTTCGCAGTACAGGCCCGCTTTTCGCAGTACAGGCCCCCGTGTTTCGCAGTACAGGCCCGCGTTTTCGCAGTACAGGCCCGCGTTTCACAGTACAGGCCCGCGTTTCGCAGTACAGACCCGCTTTTCACAGTACAGGCCCGCGTTTCACAGTACAGGCCCGCGTTTCACAGTACAGGCCCAGGTTTCACAGTACAGGCCTGTGAGACCTGCCGGTGAGTAATAGTAAAACAAAATACATGTGGATATTTCCACATGTATGTATTACCTGTTACAAAGAAACCAACATGGCTTACAACAGTTCCCAGATTTAGAGAGCCACAAACACCATATGAACCGAAGGACCAGAACCATTCTGAGAGAAGCTGAAAGTCCAGTGTTATAAAACACCAAAAAGCAGACACATGCCCGATATACGGTAGTCATAATAATAATAAAAATTGAGTATAATGAATTGAAACGCTTTGAAAATGAGTGACGAGTGCTTCCAGGAACTGCTAAGTGCTATTACACCACATATACAGAAAAAGGACACTAATGCGTAAAGCTATTAGTGCAGAGAGATTACACAATGTATACAAAAAAAAAAGAAAAAGGGATTTTTCAGGTGCCACACAAAATTGTAAAAATATACAAAATGCTATTGAAATATACAAAATAATTAAAACAATATCAATTTCATAAAAAACAGCAGAAAATGTTTGTGCGGCTCTTATACATAGGCAGTAAACCTCGTGTCAGCATGTTTCACCAATCACTGACTTCCTCAGGAGACTTTGTTAAGATACTGCATAAAATGCCACTATAAATAAAGACATCATAATAATGAGTTAGTTAGTTATTAGTCCGGAGCACAGGCTCATATATCCACCCTACGTTATTTGGCGACAGGGTGAAGCCTGCAGGACTTGACATTTTCTGATCATGTGTACTCAGCCCAGTGGCGTCCCAAAGCAGGTGCGGGGGGGTACGGCCCGCACCGGGTGACACCGACCGCACAGGGTGACACCGGACCCGCTCCACGAAAAGGTAAGTTGTAAAGAAAGCCGACGATCCCCGCAGGATGGATCTGATCCATTCTTCGGGGATCGTTGGCTTTCTTTACAACTTACCTTTTCGGGGAACGGGTCCGGTGTCACCCCGTATAGGTTGCATGCAGACGATCCCCGCAGGATGGATGGGATCTGCAGATTGGGGAGCATAATGGATTGGACTCCGATCCATTATGCTCCCCAATCCGCAGATCTGAACCATCCTTTGGAGATCGTCGACATGTAACCTGTACGGGGTGACACTGGACCCGCTCCATGAAAAGGTAAATTGTAAAGTAAGCCGACGATCGCCGCAGGATGGATCGGATCTGCAGATTGAGCATAATGGATCGGAGTCTGATCCATTAGGCTCAATCCGCAGATCCGATCCATTCTGTGGGGATCGTCGGAAGGGGGTGTCACCGAGTGTTACCGCACCGGGTGACACCAACCCTAGGGACGCCTCTGACTCAGCCTAAAGCGGAGTTCCGACCCCCCCAGCAAAAAAGAAAATTAAAAGTCAGCAGCTACTTATACTGTATTTTTTATTTTTTTTTATATATTTTTTTAATATTAGGGCACTTACTGTACTTGTCCAAGGATCCAGCAGTGTCCTCACCCTGAGCCGATTCTTCAATCGGCTGTTGGGTTCTGGCACCGCCATCAGGGGCGGACTGACCATTCGAGCACCCGGGCACTGCCCGAGGGCCCAGGGTCAGTATTGGGCCCAATGAAATGCCCCTGGTACCTTTTATAGGCTTTTTTGGGTGTGCTTTGAGTGTGGGCAAGGACATAGGGGCCCCATGATCCCCTATTGCCCGGGGGGGCCCCATGAGTTGTCAGTCCGCCCCTGGCCACCATCTTGACTAAGGGAAACCAGCAGAAAAGCCTTGCAGCTTCACCGCCGGTCGCTACTGCGCTTTGTGAATGGGCCATAGTCCTCTGGGACCTTGATAGTGTCTCAGAGGGCTGTGGGGGGCGGGGAAAACTGAGTCGGAAGTGGAAGCAGGTACCTATCAAAACCAGGTACCCGCCCCCCTTTCCCCACCAAAAGGTGCCAAATGTGATAGAGGAAGGGGGGAATAGGCCGAAAAGTGGAGCTTCCACTTTTTGGGAGGAACTCCGCTTTAAGCCACTGTACTGCCACCTAACTGTGAACCAACCCCATTGGAAAGAATGGGAAGTCTACCTGAAATGTAGTATCATGCAGTAAAGCTCTGCTCACATTAGGCAATATGGAATCACAGGCAGAAATGCCGCAATACAGCCCCTGACGCCAAATCGCACAAAAATTTCAGGAAACAAGCGACGCCTCAACTGCGGTGCAATTTTGCTGCAACAGAAATGCACAGAAATTACGGCAAACAGGGTGTGAAGACTTTGCATGACA